TGTGTGTGTGTGTGTACACCAGTTCCTCCATCCTACCTGTCTCTCTATGTTATGCAGGAGCCGCGTGGGGCTGCAGGGTTCATTGTCAGCATCCGAGGCCGTGCAGGATAACCCCGCCATCTCTCTCAGCAGGGTATGCTGAATCTGTCTGTCCGTCAGTGGCTGGGACTCTGCAAGTACCACACCACCCTTACACACACACACACACGTTAACCTTTTAACACTAACCCACCACCGCAATGACTTTGGACATTTCAATGATTTATTAAAATTAGAGCTTTAAAATGTGACTGCTACATTGTTACAGGGAAACAGAAAAGTTGACCCTATATATTTTCTTACACAAAACTGACTTGTATCAATCTAAGCCTTAAATAAAAGCCAGTCTGTACATTATGTCATTATGGGGGAACTCTGTCTTACCTTGGTAGAGCGGATGTGCTTGTGGAGCTCCACCAGTTGTTGTGTCCTCCCCTCCAGCTCGGCCAGACGCAGCTGCAACCAGCTCCATCTGCTGCCCAGCTCCGCTCTCTCCTCCAACCACCGCCCCTCACAGCTGCCACTGTTGGGCAGGTGGGGCAGAAAAGGAGAGTCAGACCCACGTACAGTAGTATTATAGCAATGTCTTGACTTCTATCAACCCTGACACATTACGACCTCACCCGACGATCATTCTCTCAGCGTGGAATTTAAAATCGTCATTAAAACTTGTATGGCCACTACAATCAACCACTGGAAGCGTATGAAGAGGAGAATGTGTGTCGCCGGAGAGAAAAGTAACACAAAAAGAAAAAGAGGACAAAGAGATAAGTGACGGTCCAAACCATTTCTCAACTCACACACTGGCACTGTCATCACATGACCTATTTCAGTTGCCTTACAGTGTGTGAACGGTTTATCATCCTAAGAGCACAAAAGCTTATCTAGGCCACAGAGTCAACCAGTGTTGATTTGTGTGGTGTTGTGTATCTATAGTATGTTTCCATGGTACTAGCCTGCTCAATTAGCATTTATCTTCTCTGTGTGTGTGTGTGTGCGGTTGGCTGGCTTCAGCAGGGCAATAGTTGCTATGGCAGTGCTCTTGGACCTTGGCTAGGACAGCAGACCCCCCCCCCCCTTCACACAGAAAGGTTAAACCAGTCAGCAAGCGGCTACACAGAGTATCTGACAACGGGCTCTGGTAATAGGAGGTCATTTTAATATCAGCATCAATGTGTATATATGTCAAATATGCAAAATGTTGTTTGCTTGCCTGATCACAGCACCCAGTTTCTGGTCGATATGAAGGAGAACTAAACACAAAGCATATAATTGGGTTTTAACCCAAAGCTAATATATGTTTGTTAAGAAGTAGGTTTCCTCCAGAGAGACAGTGACCAGACCTGCTCACCCTGCAGCTCTTTCCAACTGTATAATGAGGAAATTCCTGGAATATTTGCCAAGCAGTAGGCGAGTTGGGAGGAGCGGACGGGAGAGGAAAAGTTGCTTCAGACCTGTGCAAGTTCACAAACTACATATTGACACACATATTTTTCACGGACATATTAAGAATTCTGAATTAGGTGTGGGGTCTAGCAACCCGCTGGCTTCCCTCCACAGGTTTTTTAAAGCCAAATCCTGGCTGAATAGACTGCCAGCCCCAGCAAGGAGTTCTGGGGTTACGAGTTCTTCTATTTGAATAGTGTTTCTTGGCTCTTGCAGAGGCGTTAGGGCTTTTGGGTGTGTCCTGCATGGAAGCTTTCCAACATGTAGCCTTTCACAAAGACTCCCATAGAGTATATTTGAAATTACAGACATACTAAAATCTGGAAAATGAGCAACAGCTGGAAGTGTGCAGGCCTCCTGCCAGTGCAGAGAGCGAGCGGTGTGGACACATGGTTTCAAAGTCAAACCACGTCACCGCTTTCTACGTTCATACTTTCAATCTTAAAGGCCAACTGTTTCCACATTTTCTAAAGGAGGGCAACGACCCGAACCCTCTCCAGCAACGAGATATCCTCTTCAAGGAGGAACCTGCCATAAAAACCCCCCGGGGGAGGTTTACGGGCATTTGGTCAACGGACTTAGACAAAAGGCAAGCTGACACTTCCAAGATGACTGAATCTGGCCAAATACAAAAAGACACACACACATATAAAAACACCCTTTCTCAGTCCTGCTCTCAGTACTAATAAACATGCCCCAGTTTTTAAATGGCTCCTGTTTATTGCACTCAGACACCTCAGGAAACAAACAGACGGGTTGAAGAACTAAATCTAACTGAAGAAATAAACAACACTTAAACCAGACACGACGTGAGTCCAAATAAAAAGGTCTAACTGGACTAAAACCAACACGTTACCCCTCCTGTACTTATTTCTACTCGTTTCATTTTAAAATCACAGAGTAAGCATTACGTGGAGAGGGGCGGGTATCTTTTTCTCTGGAATTTGTAAAACAAGTATGCAGTACAACCCATCGGAGTGAGAGCTTCATTCTCGTCCTGCCCAACGTAATAATGCTCCTTCTTCAGGATGTCCTGGTGGCAGATATCAAGGTCTGGATATCCCTGACTGTTCCCGCTCTCCGGAAAGAAAACAAATGTCCAGAATGAGCATTCAGGTAGTTGTTTATTAATTGTTGTCAGGGGTTTTACTGCTCTCTTACGTTTCCCATTAACATATTTATTTGTGGCCACAATATTAACCAGACCGATGCAACACGATCTAAACTGGTAAAATATATGTTTAGTTCTCATCCTGCTTAGGATTGTGCACAGTCTTTCTGCAGGGCGATACCGTGTTGTGTCTTTTTAACACCGCTTACAGGACGTCACAACACATAATCGCGCCATCTCCTTTCCTCTCCCGAGGCAACGCGACTCACTTTGAGCGAGGACACGAGCATACCAGAGCGCCGCCCAATCCGAACCACACGCACTGGCACACACTTCAAAAGTGGAGGAGGAGCACTACGGCACAGATTGGCTGGCATGTTACAGGCTTGCTGGCATGTCTTGTGTTTATTTCCTACCCTGTGGGCAAAAGGGAGCCGCGAGTCTGTTGAATGTGTTATGACTGAAGCGTGGAAAGAGTGTGTGTGTGTGTGGGTAAAAAATGTCATCACACTCTCCACAGCTGGGAGGGACAAAACTTGTACTTATGTCAGCCACACTGTAAACTTCACTGAGGGCCAAGTAAAAGCGTCTGACACCGCCGAGGCACAGTGGGAACCTCTCACACGGAGAAAGCCGTCTTTCCAAAACTGAAATAAAACTCCTGGACTCACCTGACGTTTGTAGATGATGATTTAAAACGCTCCCCTTCTTGTCGTGTCACATAAATATGCTCATTCTCTCCGACTGGCTCCGTATTTGTACCTCTTTTTAATCAACAACCGCTCACTCTCTTTGCAGTGTCTTTATTATCCTGCACTGAAAGGTTGCCTAGAGGGAGAGTCTACGTCCGTGTACTCCGAACTTGCCCGAGTTAAAACAAGGCCAGTGGCTCCAGTGTGAACCACAAAACAATCTTTGTTAGTGAAATGATTTTCTTATTGTTTTTCTCAACACTGCGTGACAACTGCGTGAAATGACACGATTCACCTCGACGTGATAATCGGGAGACGTGGTTCGGGGGATTTCTAACGTCTCTCCTCTGTGGCTTGTTTATTTAGCTGCAATAACCAGCTGTGAGAGCCGCATACTCGCCGCGGCTCCAAAGTTCAAAATAAGAAACAGACCCCGAATTCAAAGTCATGAAACAACAAAACTGGAATTATTGTGCAAGTTATATTTTTTCAGATTCCAAGCAGCTATTTATTGGTTTTGTTTTGAGTCATGTACTCTTCTCTTTCAGTGCTTTTATTATTTGAGCCCTTGTTGATTCGTGTGCATCATTTCACAAAACAAGTACTTCCACTCGCAGGATACTCACACAGGGGGAGTCTGGACTTTGCCGTGGATCTTCCTGAAGTCCTCTCGCTCCTCATCTGAGCTGCTACTGGCCGTGGCCTCAGAGTCCAAAGCCTCCTGCAGGCCTCTCAGCACCGCCTGGCCAGAGCAGCTGAACTCTCTCAGCTCTGCGAAGGAAAACGAGGCTGTGGATGACTCCAGCCAGGACGAATGGGGTTTACAGCCCGCTTCTGGAGGTAGTAAACCAGGATGTACGGAGTCCAGGCTGTCGAGAGACACACTTCCCAGTTGACAGTGCCTTTTCAGCCCCTCCAGCTGTTGGCTGCAGTGTAGCGAAGCGTGCTCTCCTAGCAGGGCTTGCAGTCTCCTCTGCAGCCTCTGGGCTCGGCCGTGCAGCCCTGCCTGCCTGGAGAGCTGCTCCTTCACAGCCTCCTCCAGCACAGCTCTGGGCGCCAGCTGGTCATGGTTCACCCTGCCAATGCTGGGATGCATTGGAGACGGAGGGGGGCAGCGCATTTCAGTCACCTTCTCCTGGGTCAACGTATGTGGGGATGCAAGGAAGGGAGTGTAGCCCTGATACTTTCCCTCCCCGTGGGAATAAGGAGGAGGAACAATGGTGAGGCTAAGAGGGGAGCGATGCACATCACCGCCATCTGGCCCACATTCAGGAGCAGCACTGTGTCCATGCAGCAGACACGCCTCCTGGCTATTGTGCTCAGGGACAGGGACTAAAAACATGTCTGGTACACCTGGGAAGACGGAGGCCACCTGATGAGAATCTATCAGGCCTTTACTGAAGGAGAGGAGGCTGAGGAGGGAGGCAGGGCTGGGGAGCAGCACCGTCTCACACTGGCTGGAGGACGCCTGCACACACGGGGAGAGCACAGCGTTGGCAGGGACGTCCAGCGGGCTCGCGGGGAGACAGGAGTCCAGAGAGGGAAACAAGGAGAGGTTCAGCCACATCTTCTGGAGGTCAGCGTCATCCGTCGATCTCATCTGAGACTCCAGATCGGTATCGCACACGGCTCTCCCATCTGAGTCCACTGTGACGACGGCAGGAGGCGAGGACAGGTGGACGCCATGGCCGTCTTTCAGGATTTTGGTCAGGGCTGGGGCCATGCCACTTTCTGAACCACTGGTGCTCTAGGTAGCCATGGCAAAATCACCTGACAGCAAAAAAACAACAACAACAACAACCTTAAATTACTAATCCCACCGTCATTTTAAACAGAAATCTAACACAGATTTGTAAAATATAATCTAGGAACTTAGACTAAAATCTAAGTCACTAGTTAGAACAACTGGAGATAAACTACAGTGATTTCACGAGGAAAAAAAAAGACATCCACGTCCAAAAAACTGATCTTTAAAGTGGTGAAGCTAAAACTAGTGAGTTCATGTTAGTGGTCTAATATCACCACTAAAATATGTGCCCTGTTATCGGGCACATATTTTAGTGGTGACACACATATTTTTCTTTTTATTCCTGCTCATTTGCTCTATTTCTCCCTGTTTTCCTGCCACCAGTTTTAACGTGGAAGTTAACGCTACCTACGGCGTATTAACGGATCATTTAACTGCTGTTTTAACGCAGATTCCCGTCCGCTTTGAAGTGGTCTGAAACTAAAAGGTACCGGAAAAAAAACCCAACAATCGTTAAGGAAGATCCAGGATATAACGGGATTTACACGATAGGTTAGTTTAAAATGAACACCGAGTCTCTTGTCTGATGTTAGACAACTCCGTGTCAACTAACTGTTCGGTGTAGTGGGCGGATTCAGGTCTGCACCGTAACGTTACATCCACGGTCCGTATCAAAGCACATTAAAGACACTTCCACCGTGTAGCTCGATGCTAGCGTTAGCTACAGAAACCGTTCCCAGTAACGGTCGTTACCGTTAACCGTTAACCGTTACTCACCTGACCACGGAGGTGAGCCGTTGACTTAACATCGTTTATTCCAAATCTTTCTCCTTTTTTTACCCCCACCGCCCCTTTGCTGATCCTTTTTTTTTTATTTTTTATTTTTTAAAGAAACTCAGGTGTGGCTGGTTTATCTGGAAAAACCAACGGCGACTTTTATTTGGCCCAGAGAGAGTAACATCGATGAACGTCCTCCTCTACCTCTCAACTGCCATTGTGCCTCCCCTCTCTGTCTCTCCTGAACTCACCAACCGCCGAGCGGACGGAACACATCCGAGCGAGGAGGGGCTGGACCGCAGTCAGGGTGCCTTCACGACCCTCCTCGAAAGCTCAGAATTGTGAGCACTCTGAGTGAAAAATGATTCCCTTTTCCAAACACAATTTTTGCCCTCCACAAAAAAAATCTTCTTCATTTCGTTACATTAAGAAAAGCTAGGTTTTGACTGTACCCGAAAGAGCCAATCTGGTCTCGACGTGTTTCTAACTTGTTGCATGTGTAGGTGAGATGTGCATCTTGTAAATTTTGTATGTAGCATTTAATAATTAATAACACTTAATTTTAAAATGATGGCAAAAGATCTTGAGATTGTATCTCATAATTACAATAAAATTAATTCATAGTTCCAACAAAATTATCTCACAATAATATTAAAGTTATCTAATAATTACAAGACAATTATGTCATTTCAGATATTTAACTTTGGGATCTCGTTATTTTGAGTTCCTATACAATTATATATGTATATTATACAATTTCTTAATTACGGATAATGTTATCACAAGATCCTTACCTCATAATAATGACATACAGATCGCATAATCACAAAATGTAGATCTCATAATTCTTCGAGCTATGAGATACATATATCAACACAATAATTACAGTACAGAATCTAAGTCATATATGCAGTGCAGATCCCATAATTGTGACTTGTGTTGCTTTTCAAGTTGTAATAAATCACAAATCTTCATGATTAGAAGATACCAAGTCATAATTATGACATCACATGTTATAATTATTATTGTAATAATAATTAATGTAATAAGTAATATTTCATAATTACGAGATCTGTATGTTGTAATTCTATCCGTATCTTGCGAAATCAAGATTACATAATTATGGATAAGGATAAGTAATCCTGGTAGATTTAAGGGCCAATTGGAGGTCAATTACCAACATTTGAGTCTAAGTCACTTTAATACAACTGCAGTCGGATTTGACAAAACAGTAGGTAGACTACTACAAAAGGAGGAGCAAACATGTAATTAACCTCCACATACATTTTAATTATGAAAAACATACAGTAAGCTTGACCACTGAAACAAAAGAAGACAACTGTACCACTATACAGATATAGAACAACAAACAATAATATAAAACAATAAAATATACTGCTTTTTCCACTTGCTGTTCAAACAGTTTGCCACAATTCAGCAGTATTATATTTTACAATGCTATTTTCATAGGTTTTTCATGTTTGTTTAATCTGGAAGGCAATATGTCCGACAGACATTGAAGGTAACATCTTAGAACATTTGACCTCTGCCAGCATCAAAGGGCAAAATCATTGTTTTGCTAGTGAATCTGTCTAAATCAATAGTAGTGGAGGAAGTATTCAGGTCCTTTTGCCTAAGCAAAAGTAGCAATATCACACTATAAAAACACTCCCCTACTAGTAAGTCCTGCATTTAAAAGGTAGGCATACTTAAGCAAAAGTATTATTAGCAAAATGCACTTTGAATATAAAAAATAAAAGCATTAAATGTAGAAAAACATCCCTTATTAATGTTAAACTATGATCAATTATATATTATTATACTGTCAGGCATTCTAATCGATAACAATGCAATGTACGTTTTTGTAAATTAAGCACAGTAGTTCCCTCTGAATTATATAGAAGTTTAAAGTGGCAATAAAGCAAAATCTCACCACTGGAAATTCTTACATTATATATATTTATCAAGATTTTGATAAAGATTGATAAGATTTTTTTCTATCATTTAAGAGGTATCAGATTATGTAAAATGTAAGAATGACCTCTCATATAAATCAGAGGTGTGAATAAAGTATACATTTAGACAGGGCACCTACAAACTTATTGTTATTAGAAAATATACACTTCTTTATTCCAGTAATAACCTCCAGCATCATCCATCTCTGAGCCAGCGTCTGCAACATAGTGCCTGCCATGAACAAGTTAAAATGGGTACACTAATGAGGAGCGTGGAGGAAGAAGGAGTTGTACAGAGTCAACACAATAGAGCCATTGGACATCACCATAACACACAGTCAGATAAAAATGTATGTAAGCCATTTTGAGAAAGCTCTTGCAGGCAAACGTATTTCATGATACATTGTGACATTCTGACACACTGAATCCAAATCCATCAAAGCAAATAATGGAAACGCCCGAGAGTAAAATCAAACAAACGGTAAATTCTCTCAAAAACCCAAATGAAAAAGATGATGGTTTAATATTTTTCTTATTCCAGAGGAAGAGCGTACAATCTTGGTGTAGTAGAAGAAGTTCAGCCGAACAGAGGAGGTCATAATGCCGGATTAACTGGACCAAATATATGATTTGAATAGGCTTAATGCTTTCAACTGTTAGTCCAGAAGAGACCATCACAAAAACAGACATCAGGTAAGTTACTGTACAGTAAATCAAGGACTCCAGAAGAAGCTTCAGATGTTGCTTGATCCTTTCTCCTTGAAATGGACAGACCATGCAAAGGATGTAAAATGCATTAGCCAAGCCAGTTACAATAACAAGAGGTCCATTAATTAGGAAACATTTTACATAGTTCATCTTTATTCTGTTTGCTCTTTCTCCTTTGGAGTCCTCTTCCCTTGTAGTGCTCTTACAAATGAAACACTTGAAGCACTCAAACTCTGTGTAATGTAACAAATTTGATGTATTTGCATCACATGCAAATCAGAAAATTTTAATAAAACATATTATTGTGAAATTGCCTAGATAAGACATACAGACAGGAATAGAGACTTCACTCCATGTTTTTATTCCACATATCATCTAATTTATAACATAAATTAGACAGAAAGTTGCAGCATCTACAGAGTGTCTGTAAAAGCCATATATGAGGCTAGTAGAAAATTTGAGTTGCAACATCAGAAAAGAACAGCATCAGAGTTGACATCAGGTACATTACCATACAGCAAATCAGTGATCAAGGAGAAGCTTTAGAGGTTGCTTGATTCTTTCTCCGTAAAGAGGACAGACCATGCAAAATATTAAAAAAGGCCTGAATCAGGCCACAGGTTAAATAGTCCATACTCATTTTTGACTTTGATGAACACACAGTAGTGCTGAAACATTTGTCTGCACAGTTAAAAGCTGCAGATCAATCAGCACACTCCAGTCCCTTTTCCCCTCTGAGGTTTGCTGTCCTTGTCCTGAGAAGAACCTGATTCAGCTGCACATTGCTGGAAGATGCTCATAGAAACTCTTCCAGCCCATCTTCATTTTGTTTGTTGTTTCCACCTCTGTGTCTTTTTCCCCTTGTAGTGATTTACAGACAAAATCTGAGAGGTATCTAAACTCTGTGCAATGTAGCAAATCTCAGGTATTTGCATCCCACGCAAATCAGAATATGCAAAGAAGCATACTACTGTGAAATCATACAGAAATAGGTATACAGTCATTACTCCATGTATTTTCTCTGTGTATTGATCATTTTTTAAATCATGTGAATTATTATATTGACCTAAATGAGACATTTATATTTGCTATTCCATAAAACATAACATAACAAATTAAACCTCACACTGTATAAAATACATTTCAAGCACTACCACTACCATATCGTACATCCAGTAATCAATGCAATGACATTTGGACACCGACAGTTACAGTATTTGCTGTTTCACCTGATGTTAACTGGCTGGAGTGCATTTTCACATCATTTGTTGCCATGCCAACACCACACAGTACTTTGAGTGCCTTCCAGACATCGGCTGCCCTTTGCTTGAATGCAGTCTGACCAATGCCCAAGTTGACTGTGGTGCCTGATAAGTACAAGGAGGTGACTGTGAAGGAGACCCAAGCACTGAGATAAAATTGCGGGGAGAACATGTAGGTAAATTCATCAAAGAAATAGAAAGTGGCATAGAGGAAGTAGAGTACTGCTTGAGAGAGCCCAGTGATGGTAACTCTCATCTGACTTCGTCTCCTTGGAGAGGAGAAGTAGCCGCCGCCCTGTGCCACACTTCTAATGTGTCTATACAGGTAGTGGGCCGTGGAAAAGCTAGAAACCATCATTATACACAGGCAGATTCCGATGTACACTTTGATGAAGAAGAAACAAACGTGGGTTGCAAAGAACAGTTCATCAATGTGATCATCAGTCTGTGTATCATTGATATCGGCGAACCCACTGGAGGTGATCAGATATACAATATTGAGGACACCATCAAAACAAAAAAACATCGCATCAAGAAACAAAGCAACGCAGGTGATGGACCTGAGGTTCCTCTTTACCCAGATCACAAGAGCTCGCTGTGAAGGGACAATCTGGATGTAGTAGTAGAAGTTCAGCCAAACAGAACACGTCATGCTGTTATGCACGTAGCAATTCAAAATGATCCACGACACAACAAACACGTTAAAGTCACCAACGTAATTAAACACGGCACTCACTAACATCAAAGAGATAAAATATAAAGTTGTGCACCAGACAAGATATCCCAGTAGCATATTTAAAGGCTGCTTGAAGCTTTGTGTGTTGCATGTTGGGAAGATCAAGCAACATGCGTAGAAGATATTTGCAGCGAGGTTGAGGAAGACGAGAGGACCGTTGATTAACAGGAAAGCCAGCTGACTCAGATGAACAAATGTACGTTCCATTGGTGGTTTAGAGAATTGAAAATTTCAAAAGGAAGTTGTGCCTCTGTGCGTGTGCTCTGGTCTTTTGAGCTTTAGACTGTGTCCTTTATAGGAAACCAGGAAACCAATGTAAATTGACCTGAACAGTCAGAACATAAAGTCATTATGCAAACAACTGTAGCTACGAAAGGAAAGGAAAGGACAGGAAAAGGAATATTAGCATATGTAGCATGTGTTTCTGAGGCGCACCTTATCTGACAATGTATATATTGTCATGTTAGACATTTGCTTGATGTCAATCATATTTTAGATAAAACATTGCTGTTTGTTGAAGTGAACAGAATTGACAGACGGTTACTATGGTGATCTGTTTGTTTGTTGGACTCCCCATTAGTTGTGCCCTGGCCACAACTAGTCTGTATGGGGTCTATATTAAAAAAAAGAACACACAGTCAACAACCTTTGCCCTTACAGACGGTAAACAATAGTTACAGCATTAACATCTAACAATTAAATGACATCAAAACCATTAATGTCTGCTTTTCCCTTACATTTCCAAACTGTAGAAAGAAGACACAGTTAAAGGAATAGTTTGATATTTTCAGAAATAGCACCCATGCTAAGTGATCGATGAGAAGATCAGTGACACTCTGCCAGGGTGGGGGATGTTGACGGAGGAGGCTAAGAAGAGAAAAGCAGAGTGACTGAGCAAGAGGCCCGGTGGACAAGGCTGTTAGTCGTTGGCAAGAGCTGCACAAGATAAAAGGCAGAGAGACAGACACGGATGAGAGCACATAGCTCTGTTGTGACAGTTACATATGAGCAGTTTTCCACGGGTAATTAACAATAGTGCACTCTTGTCACAACACCTTTTTCATAGCATACTTTTTTTTTTTTACTTGTCATAGCAAGAAATGCACAGGTGTACCTGATGACACTGTGTCGTGTCCGTAAGCCATGAGTGTCACAGGGAGCCAGCTTGAACAGTAACAGGACCCTGACACTGAAGCAGCTAAATGTACCTCAGCCATCAATAATCTCATTATGTACACCTGCGCTTTTCATTATGTGACATGTCAAGATGTCCTCCATGAAAAAGGCTTCAGCTTCACAGCTTTATGCAGATCACGAAGACATAATATAAAATGATATAAAATGATTTACCTTGATTGAGTCCCATGCAACCATGCATAGTATATACTGTATCTATACATTTAAGAATATACCACACAGAGTATATTTATTAATGTTTTTTCTAATTTAACTTTTCCATGGTAACTGTAGTCTGGAGTTTGTGTGCATTTGGTCGTCAAAGTACCCAAATGTAGCGGTGAGCCATCTGTTCCTTAGCCAACTACTATACATTACCCTACAGGAAAGCAACTTTAATGGAGCGGAGTACATGTAAAGAACTTTGTCCGCGGAGGAGGAAATATCCGCATACAATGTCATTGTCTTACAAACAAAGGGGTGTGTTTTTGCATCTGTTGTATTTGGAACTGATTGTCACTGACTATAAATTAACCATTAGCTCAAGTACTTTAAAGCATGTGGATGTGATACATTTAGTCACTGCTGTCTAAAATTATAGTGATTGGCTTCATTTGTAAGCTGCAATTACACATGCACATTTCTGATCTTAAAAATATATATTTAATAGTATTTCAGGTCTGATACCGATACCCTCTTTTCCCCTTTCTTAAAATAGTAAACTGTTAATAATACATTAGTATGGATGCACTTTGTGTAACCTAGCCATCTAAAAAACATAATGCTTAAACTGTGAAACAAATATTCTACTCACATGAAGGAAGAAATACATAACCCAAAGTACAGTTAAGCCTTCATGTAATAGTTTAGGCTAATTGGTTGTATCAGATTATATTTTTATTTTCTCCAATCCAGTGATTTTGTCCAGTATTTGACCGATACCGATGCTGAGTATCGGATCAGCACATCCCTAGTATGAAATAAAATTAGAGTTGTAATTATTCACTTGCACTTAATATGGAACTTGGACACTATCTTCAGCTGGAGGCTTTATCTATATTACCCTGTACTTTAGTGCAATTTCATTTCAATTCATTTTAATGTGACTATAGTTTGACAAAAAATAACCAAGATGCACTTATTAGCTTTTCTGTAGCTTTCAACTACATGGTCTTCATCACTGTGCGTTCTCATAACCTATAAATAAAGCTTTACTTACTTACTTACTCAGTATGGAATGTCATTTATAAATAATAATAATAAAGTCGAGGAAAAACTGCTGTGCAATTTTTTTTTATTTAAATAAGCACGTCTGACTAGAACGCCAGAATGAACAGATCATATAAACACAAAGGAAGAAAATAGTCACATAAAAATAATACTCCATGTCAGAAATAGCAAACTAATTATGATACATCTTTACATTCAAACACTCACTGACATATGATCCTTCTAGTATATAGATAATTATTCCTCTCACACATACACTCACCTCACAAACAGCAGTACTTAATACACACGTTCTCACTCTCTCACACACACACTTGCAATGGATTTATCCCTCTTACGTCTGTCAGTGTGTATGTATGAGTGGTCCGTTATGCTACATGTCAAGGACTCGGACATACAGGGAATAAATAAAAGTTGGCATCAGAATTCAAAGTCGTTTTTCAGTTTCTTTTGGCATTAAACAGAACTTTGTGCATCCTTCAGTGGTTTGTTATTGTCTTTTTCCCTCAATACTTTATTCTCAGACTATTATCTAAGAAGAAACTGAAAATTCACAGCAGTGGCATGCACATTTCATTCATATTTCAGCACTTTAAGGACCACTTCAGTGTTTTTGCATGTTCAAGCCTATTTGTTAGACGTCAGATATGCTTTACAATACTGCTTTATTTAATTCAAATGTGTTTTTCCTACATTCCTGGAGGTCAATAATTCACATTATGTGCTGTTAGTGAACACAGCGAACACCGTATCTGCTTTTATTTATCACTGTGCATTAATGCAGTGCAGATTTTTTAAGCAAGTCTGTGCTGCATTACCAGGCAGCAACAATATAACTGGAAGATATAATGTTTACCGTCACGGATCAACTACCTCAAGCACGTTTCAAGCATCTGCAAATTGTTTTTCATTACACTGCGGAGTAAATGAGAATCAGTGGCTGCTGGAAAGCTGGAAAAACACATTAAGCAGTCTGACACAACAGCAATAATGTGATGTGTGAGGTGAAGTAAATGAGCTAAAACATGCAAAAACATTGAAATGGTCATTCAAGAACACTCTCAGGAAACATTTTACTTGCAAAAATGTGCACTTACATAATATGCACACGCACACACACACACACACACACACACACGTTTACATAGTTTGTGTGCAGCCCTGAATGCAGATGGACTCTTTAAACAGTGTGGCTCACACATTAGCACTGTCACTGTGACAGAAAACCATAATGACACATCAGAGTTGTCAGTATAAGAGATGGTAGGTTCCTGCGTGCGTGTTCAAGGTGGGGCAGTTAGAAGTAGTCTCTTCTCCGTGAGTCGTCACTGATGAAGGAGGGGTTCCACTGGGCGGGGTAAATGCATGAGTGGCGAGAGCCCGGCAGGCCTGTGAACGGGTATAGGCCGTTTCTGTCCAGGTCTGAGTTACGTAACGCAGGCTGTGGGGACAGAGAAGGAGAAAATGTATACAATGTATTTAATAACCAGTTTCCTCTTGTGTAATATAATGATTTATCAGTTGTATCCACTGTCTAGACACACAAAACAAAGCCTTTACTTGAACAATGAAGACAAATGAAGTGAGTGGGAGACTAAATGAAAGCTGAACTGTACGTCTCCTTACAGAGTAGTAAATGTCCGTCATCTGCAGCAGGTTCTTCGTGCTGCCGTTCTCTTGCATCTCTATGGTCTCTCTGCCCCACTCCATGGATATGCGGTTACTTTTAGGGAAATCTGCATATGGGGACATCTGCAGGTCTCCACTCTTGAAGATGATCTTGTTTATGTCATTCTTGTCTTTCCTTGGGGAAAACATTTTAAAGAAGTTACACCTTTGGTAGTCTAGGACCTGGGTCTTCAACAGGGGGTTAGCGACCAATTGGGGGCTGCCAAATTATTTTTTGATAATATTTTGGAAGTTTTTATTTTATAAAACTGTCTGAAAATTAACATGAATCCAGCATATTAGATAAGATAAATTCCACATGTATATTTAAAATTAAAACATCAATATATTATTGTATGCATAACACATTATTGTAGGCCAAGTTTACACTATTTTAGACAATATTTCTATTAGCTGGTCCCTGCTCCATTTCTCTATCAACGTCAGAGGTCTAGGATGACTTGTTTTTTCATCAACTTGAAAATACAGTAGAGCAAGGGATATTACTGCACTGGTATCAACAACAACAGCAGTCTTACTTGCAACAGGTGACAATGAGAGCGATGACAAGGATGAGGAGTAGAGCGCCCCCTGCAGGTGACACCACGACTGCAATCAGCTTGTAAACTGCAATGTCAAATAACACATATCATATGTTAAACTTTAAAAAACATATGTCAGCATCACAACAGCAAATGTAGACTTTAGTCGACAAAAATATCTTCTATTGAAACCGAATACGTTATATTTGGCCTGTTTGGGTATTGTTAGCGTCACTTACAATTTCCACAGTTAAATCCTCCAAATCCAAACATGCACCTGAAAGCAGAAACAGAATCTGCAGTGAGAACGTGGTCTAAAATCTTTCAGTGTACCTAGATTTGTACCACAAGGGAAAAAACTGTTGAACTCACGGAATGCAGGTGCCGTTTTCCAGCTTGTAGCCGTCCCCACATTCTGAAACAAGACATTTTGTTCAGAAAAAGTCCAATTACACAGACTGGCATAAAGAGTTCAAAAGCCTATAATATTTTCAATCTGTATCCTTAATTTCTATTCATTTTCATGTGAAATTTCCTCAGTATTTTGTTTTTGCAAGAGTAAAAGCTTGGTTGTCATCAGCACCTAGTTTTTAGGCGTAAACCGTAGTGGAACATTTAACAACAGGTTAATATGTATTTGCTTTTTCAGTTTAGTTATTGTATTTACAAAAAAAACACATGCACTCACAGTAAGTACTTAGATAGATCTGTGAACCAGCACTATTTGAACAGAAACACACACTTACCTAAGCAGGACAGATCCTCAGGGTTGTGTTTGTAGTATCCTTCAAGACACTGGCAGTGGGCTGTGCCACTGCTGTCTGTGCAGGTGGAGCGCTCCGTATCACACTGAGTCTTCTGGGCCACGCACAGACTTTCCACTGGAAGATAGTGCGGACACAATTAGTAATGGCAATAACAACACAGGAATCTGAACACGAGTAGTCCTACATAAAATTGCTACTGTGTATGTGAACTCATAGTCAATGCAATTAATTGTAATTAATGTACGATTCCCTACATAGTGTACGGTTGTGAGATATAGCAAATTTTGCATGATGTCATAATGTAACTGTCCAATCTTGTTCAAAATGTAACATGGTTCCTTTCATGAGGAAGCTATGTATGGCTAAATTGTGCCCCCTAGTGGCTGTATACACATTAACACATACACTGATCAGCCATAACATTATGACCACCTGGGCACCCTGGTGGTCCTAATGTTATGCAGCCACATACACAACAAACTGTGATGCACTGTGTGTTCTGACATCTTTCTATCAGAACCAGTATTTACTTTTTCAGCAGTTTGAGCTACAGTAGCTACGACGAGGTGACCAGGCCTTTTCTGTTTGTGTACCTCAGCTGTGGCGTGATGTGCCGGAGTAGAGCTCACACATTGTCTTCTTTTAAGTCACTTCTAAAAGCTCTGTATTTTAGACTTTCTTTATGGTTTGTTTTATTATCTTTCATTGCATTGAATCACAATATTTTATTAAATTTAACTGTTGCTTAATGCCTTTTTAATTGTATGTCAAGTGCTTTTTAATTTATTTTGAAAAGCATTATATAAATACAAGTATTATTATATTCACAGCTACTTTTAGTAGGCAATCACATTTGAAGTTGTTAAAACTGTTTCGATTTAAAATGAGCAAACATCAGGGTGTTACATTTACCGTGATAAGTGAGCTTGTGGTGCAGGACCATCCGGCAGTGGGCCATCGAGGAGCTGCAGTTGCTGAGAGACATCTGGATGCTGTTGTAGACCTCAGCACTCGTCACATTGGTGGAAACAGAAAACATGTTGACAGCTGAGATGCGAATCCCGTCCTCTTCTCTGTAGGGAAGAGGTCAGAGGTCAACACAGAGGTCTACGCTGACAAAATGTCCATGTTGCATCTTTAAGCCTCAAACACATTGCAAACCTGATTACAGAAAAATACAGACACGGAATGGTTAAGTGATGACAAGAACTTACTTCTTGCTCAGCATTGAGCGGCTGTAACCTCGGAGGACTGACAATGAAGCGTTGAGCTGAGGTGAAGACAGGAAGAGAGTGTGTATAAGATATAATACCCATAATACGCCTCTGAAACGAGATGATACAGTGATGTGGACTGCCTCTCACCAGCTGAATGATCTCTCTCTGGATCTCATGCACGGTGGTGCTCTTGAAGACAACAGGGTCATGTGGGAGTCTGTTAACACTAAAAGTTCCCAGGAATGTCTTTGCTATGGAGGGGAAAAAATACTCTCTGTGAATCAAAAAAAGGCTTTTGGGAAAACAACTTTGACTTGTAAATTAGTATACAGTTTTTGTACCATCTGTGATTGAATTATCGTTTCAACATTGTTATGCATTAAAGGGGTTTTACCTCTGGTGCAGGTGCGTCCATCCTCCAGGTCGAAGCCGAGTGGACATTCGCAGCTGAAGGAACCTCGCGTGTTCACACACGTGGACCCAACGGGGCAGGGGTCCTTCTCACACTCATCTATATCTGGACACATGTAGGTATCACAATATTATGTTTAATAGGACCTTCACTGAATCCATAAACCTGAATCTTAACCCTCAGTACTATATGGAAAAAAATATTTTATTTCCTGCTCGGCTTTACTGAAACATAACATTTAAAGTGCATGTTGACAGTGTTGATATCAAGCTGTCAGGAAGAAAAGAAGAGAAGCTCACCCTGGTTGCAGGTCGGCCCTGTCCATGCCTGCTGACAATGGCAGATGAACTGATGCCCTTTATAGCTCACACACATCCCTCCGTTCATACAAGGGTTTGACACACAGGGGTTTCCTGGAGTTCAGAGGACAGCAGGAATTTTACCACAAAGGAGAAGAAACTGAACCTTTTGAAAAAGCTAAAAACAGTGTAATGACTTGAGACATACAGTGGTTAAACGGAGACATTCATCATGTCTCATTAAACTCCTAATGACAGCAGTTTATAATGCACATTCTGACACCTTACCTATTTTCAGTATTACATTTTTTTGCATCGTTCTCTCATACAAATAAGTATAAAGATCACTGCAGTAATCAGCATCCAACTCATTCATTTTAAGTTGCACATAAGAGGAATGCGACACAAATGCATAATTTCCAAATTCATCAACTACAAGGTAGCCCCTTCTTCAGACCACAGAGATCCTATCTATGGTCATTTGAATAGACTGACCTGCATTTAACCTAACCCTCCTAATATTTGGAAAGCTTTATAAATGGAAAAAAATGCTTTTAGACAAGCTATGGACATGTTTTTTTTACTTTTTTAGGACTGTTAACATGACTTGACTTGATATTTCAAAATATGAGCTGTGTTTTTGACTCTAGTTTTCACAGCTCTGTAATTACGTAATACAACTTTTAAGCACTGATCTGCAACATTTTCAGCCACATAAATGTGTGGCTTGCTGTTGTCTGCCACCAAACGACACGTGTTTGGTGCATCTTTGCAATTCCCTGGCATACATGAACTCATGTATTTAAGAAGAAGAAGGGGAAGAAGATATACTTTATTGATCCCCTAGGGGAAATTGTTTTTTTTCAGCATAAAACGGCAATAGTCACCACAGTTAACTGTAGAAAATTAAGTAAGAAGAAACATTCTCGCTGTTAAAACTGCATGTCAAGGTTTATCACGAAGGAAGAGTATACACCACTTACTTGGTGGTGGTGGTGGGGCCCTGGTAGATCTGACGTCAGTGGGAAATGTGGTCACCACCTGCTCTGTGGTTCTGTGGTCTGTCTGTTTCCCAGTGGTCTGCATGGCCTCTGTACTCTTGGTTGGGGTGCTGTGGGTGTAGGTGGTGGTGATGTGCTGGCTATGAGCCGTGGTGATTCCCAGAGTGCCCGTGCTTGTCTCAATGTGCAGGGTGGTGACGTTTGTGGGGTTAGCCACCCCAGTTGAAGGCCCCTGAGTTTGGCTGGGTGGCACACGGTGAGTTGGGGGCGCTGTACTGGTCTGCAGGGCCAGGGTGGAGGCTGTGGTGGAGGGTGTAGTGTATGGGATAGTGTCCTCGGTAGGTGGCCCTGGAGCAGAGCTGCTGGTGGTGCTCCTGAACCATGAGGATGAGGTTGCAGGTAGATGAGGCGCAGTGGTGGTCGTGGTAGTTGTGGTGGTGGTGCTGGAGGAACTGGCTTTGGAAGTGTTTTCCTCTGTTATCTGTGATCTGTTACAGAGAAAATCAATCAAGTCTTTTGATTATTGACAGCCCAAAGCTCATAAATCCTTAAATGCACTTCTGTTTTGCTTGGTGCCCGTCTGTCCATTTACTTAACACTACACTAAAATCAGTAAATTAATTTACCATTTAATACATTTAAATATGTTATTTAAAGAAGTTTTTAATCTTCATCATGATTGGATTTAGCCTCTACCTTAATTAAATTTTAGTCAATTAAATTTTGTAATTGTTTTTTTTTTATTTTAAAATCTGTTTCTTGCACAAATGATGTATTTAAGGAATAATTAGTCTCTATATGGTGAAACATATCAAGAAGTGACATGTAACAAGTGTTACATGTCAGTTTTTATTGTTTTGCATATGCAGTTACTGTAGTTTGCGAGTTAAGTCAAAATAATGTTTTCTAATAAACAATACTTTTAGAAAATAATATAATATAATCAATATTATTGACCAATAATGATGAATCCTTCACTCTGCTGCAACCAAATATCTTTCCTTGAACCATTATCATATTATTTGTTTCATAATTAATCAAGCACAAAGTTTAATCAACAATAAAACGTACCTTTCTGTAACGGTGACAGGTGTGGTGGTGAAGAAGGCCTCAGTTACCAGCACTGGAGTGTCTGTGAGAGAGTCGTCCAGTTCAGATGTACTACTGCTGACTGTAGGCGGTGCTGCGGTCAGACCCAAGTCCTCGCTTTGCTCCCTGGTCTGGGATGAAACCCCCTCAGTGCTCTCCTGGTTCTGAGTGCTGGAGCTGTGGGCTTCAGTGGAGGACTGGGTGGAAGTTCTAACACTAGTGCCCAACCCCTGGTCTGTCCCTGAGACGTTTGTAGGACCTTTTGCAGGAGAGGTGATGGGAGGTGTGGAGGAAACGGAAACTTCAGATTGGTCAGTGCTGGGCTCCGTCAGTCTGAGAGGCGGTGTCGAGTCAGAAGTCTCATCTGATGTTGAAGTGTGTTGATGCTGGGTGGCATTAGGTTGCCCGGTTAAACTTTGGGTTCCTCTGCTGCTCCCTGGGCTCCCGGTCTCTGAAAACGTCCCCTTGAAGGACTGGGTCATGTGCTGGTCTGTTGTGTCCCCGCTGTCAGTCCTGGTGGATGGGGCACTGTGGGTGTAATCCTCAGTCTCTGTAGCCCTAGCAGAAATACCCCAAGTAGAAGGAGGCTGATGTGATTTGGAGTCCTCTGTAAAGGCAGAGGAGGTGCTGTTGCTGGAAGAGGAGGTGACAGACAGCAGGTTCCTCTCTCCAGCTCGGGTTATGGCTGTGGAAGTGTAAGCGCTGTCGGTGTGGACGGCTGTTTGGGACATTGAGGACGACGCATCTCCTAGTCGGAGGGTGGTGTCTGGGCTGTCCTGGGGCAGTCTGGCCTCCTCTGTCAGCATCTGGGAACTAGCCTCCCAGAACCCCACAGGGGAGGACTGTGGCACCTGGTCTGTGTTAACAAAGTCCTTCCAGTCCCTGCTGCTGCTGCTGATGCTGCTGCTGATGCCGCTGCTGCTGCTGCTGATGCCGCTGCCGCTGCTGCTGATGCTGCTGCTGCTGATGCTGCTGCTG